AATAAACTGACATTAGATATTAGATCATGCTCTGCTTTTATAATGTCATTAAAAATATAAACACAAGAATATAAAGTGGTTTTTTGGTTATGGAGTGGAAAAGTGTCGGGTGTGTTTCCCCCTGACAAATTGAATGTGATTCAATTATGTGCATAGCCAATGCAGAATTTATGGCAATTAATTTATTTATTTTAATTGTGAAATATTTGCATTTCAGTCGAGCTGGCTATTTTAGTAATTACACTCTTTGATTATTTATTTGGTCATTATTTTTTTGCTGCTGTTTTGTTGTTACCTGGGCTGATTGCTTATCAGCAAATGTTTGCATTTCACAAAATAAATATTAATTAAGCTTATCGTTGTTGTCTCTTCTTTTTTTCTGTTATTGAAATATTTGCAATATTTACACGATATAATTAATTGATTTTACTTTATGCACGCAATAATAAATTTGTGAATATCAAATGCTGCCTGCCTGCCTGCCGCTAAATTGAGTTATCTGTGTGACAAAATTAACATTAAATTCAACTTGTATAAAATGTTGCGATTTGCGGTTTTATATATATATACGTATATATACATTTTTTTTTTGTCGAAGCTTTCGTTTTTGTTTTTGTGCTTGTCTTTTATTTGGAGCGCCCACACAGATGTCAAATATGCAAATGTGTGTAGCTTTGTAGCTGTAAATGTATCTGTATCTGTATCTGTGGCTGGGCAGCATTAATTAATTATCAAAGCAGTCAATTAACATCTCGACAGACGGTGCTTGGCCCTGGCTGTGGCTTTTATGTGTATCTCAAAGATACTCGCCACCAGCTCAAAGTCGATTTTCGCATATACTTTTCAAAAATACAAACAACGTGAAAACAACAGCAGCAACAACAACAACAATAATAACAAAAACATCACAATCAATTTGCCTCCGCTGCGTCGCTCGCTGGGAATTAAGTTTTTGCAGCATTGTTTTTGTTATTGTTGTTGTTGTGGCATTGTTATTTTGTTGTTGTACTTAGTTGTTGTTGCTTGGCACACATTATCTAGTGAACGCTGAACGCTTTCGTGCCTCCGCTTGTTTTTTTTTATTTTATTTTTTTTAAATGTTTTTTTTTTTGTCTACATGTATTTAGCGTGTTCAAAAATTTGCTTTTTTAATGACGCTCTTGTTGATTGCGGCTTGTTTGTTTGTGCTAAACCCGCCGTATCATGTTCAAACACCCACTGCCCCCTCCCCCTCCCCTCACCGACACCCTTGCACCTTCATCTTGTTCTGGCGGCCTTTGACATTCGTTTATTATGAAATAATGTTGTACAAATCGCTTGCTGTACAAATTCGCAAAAATATGTTTAATCTTCATTTTAATTGTTCCTGTCTGTTGCTGATTTTGATATTGTATTTAGTGAAAAAATTTGTGTCGAGTTGTCATCAAGCTGAACAGTTTTTAATTGTTATTGATTCGACGCAATTAGAATAGATGCCCGAGAAATAGTATCTAAAATGAGCAGGCATATCAACTTTTAGCTACATTTTGTGGCGGAGTGTTGAGTTTTCCTATTTGAACAAATATTTAGTCTTGTTTAAAATGTTTAAAGTAAAGTCTTTCGGTAGATAGATCGTTCTGGTTACTGCATCACTTGAATATAATTCATTTGGAATTATTTCTCCATACCAGATTAGATTTGCATTGAGCATAGTCCGGCGAAATCGGAACAGACAACTATATCATAGCTGATATGGGCACGATCGGTCGAAAGATGAGTTTTTGTGAATGACTGTTTACTGAAACAAATTTTCAAACCAATCTTATTAGTCGTGCATATTTTTATGCCAAAAAATCATCGAGATCGATCGACTAATCATAAATATTGTATAGGAAGAATCGGTCAACTGCGATCTGCAAGTGTATTTAATCTTCGACTTGCATAATAGGAAAATTTCTTACTGGTTGTATTTTTTTACGATCTTTTTATCTCTTTCAGTTTTGCGGCGCACAATTGAAATGGTTGCTTTTAATTTGCATGGGCGTTTGGAAGGAGCGAAGCGAACAAACGTTTGTCACTGTCAGCCATTTATGAGAATTGAACAAATCAATTTGCTTTAATCGTGTCGACGAGGCGGGGCCCTGACAAATGGCCAACTAAGTGACGGCTCAGTGTCTTTGACTGGTTTATTATGGGAAATACATACACATATCATTTACACAAACGTACATAAGTCTTGCCGGGAGCAATACGAGTGGCATTTTGGTTTGAAATTCATGTTAGCAACAGTTTATTGTTATGTTAAGCAACATTTCGTATTAACATTTAATAAAAACTGATTGGGAAAACCCTCATTTATATAGGCATCATTTTAATATTTGCGACTTCACTTTTGACATTTGCTTAACCTCTGTTTTTATAAACACGACATTTAATAGAAAAAACACAATTTGAACAACTTCAAAAAAGTAAATAATCTCAGCTTTTTGTTAAAAGTAATTATTTAGTGATTAGCTTAAGCTTGACAACATTTGGTAAACAACCGTCTTTGTGTCGGACAGTTAATTAGGCAGAGAAAGAACTCATCTGTTCGGCAAACAAATGATTGGCCAGCAAATAGTCACTAAGTAAGTATAATTATATGTATACATAGATACAATGTAGATGAGAATGTGCATGGAATGTTTTGTCAGCCAATTGACACATTTGTAGCGCTCAAATTGTTATCGCCAAAGGCGCACAGAACGGTGGCAAATGCCAACAGCAGCAGCAACAGCAACAGCAGCAGCAACAGCAACAACAACACCAACAATAACAACACCAGCCACAAAAGCCAATTACACTTTTGCAGAGAAAAATAATAAAAAGAAAAAAACATCAGCAGGCAGAAAATGCTCCCAGTCCGCCAACTAAAAGTCAGTTAACGTGTGCAAGTTTCTATATATATATATATATGTATATTTGCGTGTGTGTGTATCTTGTACAAATCTTGACTGTGCTACTGCTACTGCTGCTGGCAACTTTTACCAGCGTCGATTCCGACAGTGTGACAAATTATTATTGTGCGCTTGTGTTGGTGTTTAATACACATGCACATGGCCTATGGACAGAGACAGGGGCAGTGGCACCGGCTGAGGCAGTGGCAACGGCAGCGACAGCGGTAGATTTAGCTTTGGCCTGTCGCTGGCGGCGCTGCTGGTGCTAATGACCGTAACTAAGTTGGCGTCACGATTGTGCGCGCCACTACGGGTAGCCACCCCGCTCCGTACAACCGCACACAATCCCCCCTCCACCTGCACCACACAGCCAGCCACGCTGCTTGACCATTATGGCTGTTGTTTTTGGCATTGGGCTCTCTGTTGTTGGCTGTTGCCCATTTGTGTAAGGCATTTTTAATATTATGACCGAGAGCGCGTCTAATAGACGCTTAATTGTGCTGCTGCAGTCGGCTATATCTGCATCAGTAGCCGATGACTAGCTGTAATAGTTGTAGTTGTTGTTGTTGTTGCTCTCGAGTTCTGTTTCATTATGCATGTTAAGCATTTAACGTAATTTGTTTGCTTAATTTTATGGCACACAGCAAAACAAAAGTGGGCCGCATCTACCAGATACTTTTCAATAGATGCCAAATAAACAATTTCCGGGCATTTAAACAACAATATTAATGAATCTTTCAGCATTTATTAATTTCATATTTGTTGTTTTCAAGTCACAATTTTATAAACTGTATTAAGAAAATAGATGTCTTTATAATAAACACACACACACACACAGTTGCCCACCCACACACACACATATGCCTAATTCAAATTTCATAATTTGAACTAAATGCAAAACACGCCCAAGCAAAAAGTTATCAAACACAAACAGCAACAAAAACCACAGCGCAGCAAGTGCGAGTGAGCTAAAATGTCTCTGTGTGTGTGAGAGAGTGAGATAGAGAAAGACAAACGCCCAAAAGGGGAGCAGAGAGTTATGTTCGTGTGCTTTAGCCTCACCCCCTCATCCCCCTCTCACTCCATGACAGCAGCACACTCACTGTTTGCTTTTTGTTCGTCGTTTCGTCGTTCGTCGCTTAGTCGGTCGGTCGTCTGCTTGTTCGTACTCAAAATGGTCGTCGCTGCGCTGCGCGCCGCAGGCTTCATTAGGCAGCGTGATTCCTTTTTCATTTGTATTTATGCATGTATTTTTTTTTCCTGCGTTTCTCCTTCCCCTCTACGACGACGACGCCCCTTTTATGGGAATTTCTCTCATTGTGCGTGCACTTTAAATTCGTAATAATAATAAGAACTCAATGAGCCGTCATTTGCTTGTCACCATTGCGGCTGAATGCACACGCACAACGCAAAAGAAGAAGACGAAGAAGAAGAATAAGAATAAGAACTAGACACAAATGAATTATATGTGTTTTATTATAAATTCCATTTGAAAAGCTCCCACGTTTTATAATTATAGAATGCCTAAATATCAATCACAAAAATCGTCAGCTATAAATCAGAAAAAAGTGGCAATGTTTGACATGTTTTAGCATGTTTGTACACATTTGTTTCCAAATTGCTGCGCAGCCGCCTGTCAATTATTGGGATGAAGATTGGGGAGGTAGAGTAGAAGGGGGGAATTGGTGGTGCTTATAAACAAAACCCCCATTTAATTACAAATCGGCTTAAATTGAAACACCTTAATTGGCATTAACTTGAGGCAAAAACAAAACACAAAATAAAAATAAAACACCAAACCGAAACGAAACGTAAAGAAAAAAAAACATGTGCCTCGCAGCGGCAGCAGCAGCAGCAAGCGGCAATTAATCAAACTGGAAATCAATTTACTCTCTCGCTCGCCCGCTCTCTTTGCTCGACCAACTATCTCTCGCTCGCTCGCTCGTCTTTTGGGATTTATAGCATGCCACATTAAACAAATATACACATGTACACACAGACACACACATATATATATATATATACATACATACATACATACATACATAAATAAGAAGTGTGTTTGGTTAGGTTTTGCTTACTTGCCTTTTTATAAATCCAAAATAATCGCAATTTCTGCTGTTGATATGCTCGTTCCTGCTTCATAGGCGACAGCATGCAGTCGTCTTTGTTGTTGTTGTTGTTCCTGTAGTTGTTGTTGGTATCGTGAAGGGGGAGAGAGAGCGGTGGTGAGTGAGTGAGAGTGGATGGGTCGAGTGAATGAGTGTAGGGGGGGAGGAGGAGCAAGGTGCGAACGAGGATTTCGTTGCCTGTCGACTTGCTTGCCTGCTCGCGCAGCGACCCTCGACACTCGCGTGCGACAGAGAGAGAGCGAGTGAGAGCGAGCGGCCCGTAAAAGTGAGCAGCGATTGTAGGTAGAAAATAATCCACAAAAAGACAGGAAATGTAAATCCACAAATTTTCGCTGTTTTGTTGTTGTTGTGCCGTAAGCAGAGCTTTCCTTTATTTTTCCTCTGATGTTGTTGTTGTAATCTCAAGAATAATTTGCCATTTATGTAAACGCCAGAGCGAGAAGAGTAGAGATTGCCACGGCAAACACTTTTTTTTTTGCTGTTATTACTTTTTTTTGACAAATATGCTGCTAGCAATTTTTCTTGGTTTTTTTTCACTGCATGAACTTTTTTTTATTATGAGGTTGGTTGTTTTCTTTTTCTCTTTTTCTACAAATACAAAAACGGCACTTTGTGTGAGAGCGAGAGGGAGAGGGAGAGAGCGCGGCGCTGCGAAGTAGCATGTGTATGTGTGTGTGTGTTTGGAGCACACACACAGATACACATGCAATGAGCAGAGCTTGAAGTAAAAAATGCACGGGGGAGTTGTTAGTTGTACAACAAAATGACCGACGGGGCGTCCAACCGACCGACCAACCGACCGAATGACTGTCCGTCCGATCGACCGAACCGACGCACGCGCGCAGACGTCACAATTAGTGAGAGCGACTAAGCGACCAGCGACGAGCGTTTGTCGGCGTTCTTTTACCGCAATGTTTGTGCGAAACATAAAGAAACTCAGGCACACACACATAAACATAAACACACAAACATATGCATGCATATACATGTGTATGTCGCATTTACAAACACACAAACATATTTGCCATCGACGCTGTGACGCTTCTGCTGCTGCTCAACATTGTTGCTATAACCGAAAAACCGAAAAACACAAAAAAAACTGTCGCTCATTGCAGTCGTACGACGAGAGACGAAGAGACCGAGTCAGAGAGCGAGAGATTGAGAGAGAGACGCACACATACATGTGCACTGCAAGCGAGAGTAGACGACGACGACGACCGCGCTGCTGTATAGAAATTTTATTCCGGTATTATACGGCTGCTGTGGTTGTTTTTGTTGTTGTTGGTGGCAACATATTGCCACTGCCTTTTTGGCCGTTTTACTACTATTGCGGCGAGTGCTTACTACTTTTTTTTTCGTTCACAACAGTATTGGTGTGCAGTAGTATGCGTATGTGTGTGTTTGCTTTTGTTGTTGTTGCTTGTATGACAGCGACTGCTGATGATGATGATGATTACACTGCTCTTTTCACACATGCACATATGTATTTATGTATGTATGTAATACACACACACACACACACGCGCGCACGCATAACAGTCAAGCCCAAGTGGGTAATTTGTTTTATGAGTAGCGGCGGCAAATAGCACTTGTGTATTGTTGTTTTTGTATTTATTGTTGCTGTTTCTTGTGAATGACAGACAGCCAACGAGTAATAATTTTTAATGCGTTTTTAGCATTTCTACACTGCTGCTGGTTAATTGCTTAAAGCACTCCATACAAACACACACATATAGACGCGCCGCGACGAGTGTTGGAGGAGAAGAGCAAGACAATATTTTTTTCAACACTTTTTTCTGTTGTGTTGCTTGAATAATTTAATGCACATAAACACACACACACACACACACACTGAAACACACACAGAACATGAGCTCTTTATTATTTGCATAAACTATCGTGTGGCTTCAAATATGATTTAATACCTTTGCCTAGTTGCTCATGGAAATCTTTTGGTTTAGCACACAATTAATGCTAAAAATGTTGGATGTTTTTTTTTTTTGTTATTTTTCATAGAACTTTTCGCCTAGTTTGCGTCGACAGCGTTTCTTCCGTACTGTCCGCCACGAAGGAGCAACGCGTACAAAAAGCGCATAAATTGAGCGGCTCTCACTGGCAACATAGCGGCGCGCAGTGTAGGGTTGCCAGACAGTCGAATCAAGTAAACAATCCCATAATTCAACAGTGCAGACTGCAGACATTGTTATTTTAACAATATATTTTATTTTTAAGCATCGTTAAATATAAAATTGTAGTTTAACATTCAATGTAAAAGTAAATAATGCTGTTAATGTGACTTAGTTGTCTGTGACTCGACAACCCTGCGGCATTTGCACTCGGATGCCGCACACTAGCGCATTCCCATGCACATACACGTTGCGCTCTCTGAGAGGAATATCTTTAATGGCGGCGTTTTTGCTGTGCGCTCACTCTCTGAGCGCGCTCGTTCTCGCTCGCGCTCACCGTCAGTGTTGCTACTGCTGACGCCATGTTGCGCAGTGCCGCTCTATGTTTATCTCTTTTCATTTTGTTTACTGTGACGTCGTGTGGTCTCACTTGGCAGCATTGCGGCTGCTCCTTTTTTAGAGTTTCTTATTGCCAATATCAAGTTGGTGCATGCACAAAACGTAGACATGTCATCACCCATCCAATAAGACAAATATCACATACATAAATAACTCAAAATTAGTTGACATGTGCAAACCAAACTAGAACATGAACGATGTTAAAAGATACCATTTGGCGGCGCTTGTGTTTATCAGTGGGGCATGATAATATGTGACTACTAAGTGCAGAGTATGTGTAAGTCGTTATCGTAGAAAACATCTCGCTGCTGCCATTGCAAATTGTTTTTTGGATGATTTTGCGAACATGAGGAGTGAGGAGAGGAATCGCTAGCGACGTCCTCGTTGTCAATGTGCGTGCGGATTGATTACTGATTGGCATGTCGTTTGGCTGTTGCCGTTTCAACGATGACGCTGACTTCGACGTCGCAGCGTCGTCGACTACGTTTTTTTTTTGTTTTGTTTCTGTGTGTGTGTGTGTATGTGTGTTTGTTACCTCTGCGTCTCTTGTTTATGGTTGTTGTTGCTGTTGTTGCTGCGCTCGAGCACATAATGACATAATGAGATTTATTAGGCGCAAAATAAAGCCATAATGTTCCGTTTGACCTTTGTGTAACTTTGGCTGTTTATGTTATTGTATTGTTCTCATTGCTCAAGACACGTGCTTCAACGTTTTACATATCAGATGACACATCCTATAGCTATATTGCTATATAGCTAGTCATCATTGTCTATCCTTGTTTTTGTTCTTCTTCTTGTTTGTTGTTGTTACTCATTTTAAATTCGCATTTGAATGTTGCCTTTGCTGCCATTGAGGCAAAAAGGCAAATAAACGTTGCTCGGCTCCTTACCTCGGCGTTCGATCCTTTTTTGCCTTTATGTCCCATTTTGTGCCCGAAAAACTTGTTTGTGCATCAACCTAATATACTGAACAGCTCCCCAGCCCCCCAACCCCACCCCACTGATACATGCTCTTCAAGCTTTTCTAGCTTTCCTAGCGCAGCATACAACAAAGCAGACAATTTGTCTGCAATAAATAAAAAACTCAAAGATTTGTTTAAATTTGTTTCTGTATTTGAGAAGAGACTCTAAAATAATACATCATGTAATTATTGCTCTCTTAGTCAGCTATTATGTTTAACAGTTTCTACTTTCTAAGTTTGTATTAAATATTTGTCAAATATATTGCAGTTTTGTGCCATGGTGCATGATGAGTAGCTTTGCTGGTTGTTTTCCTATTGGCATTCGTGCACGCTCTTCCAATTTTATTGCTGAGATTCTGATTCTAGTTGGATTTGACTACGCACACACACACACACACACACACACACACATATATATATATATATATATGTATGAAATTAAGTTGTGTATTTTGGTGTGCTTTGGGAATTGATATCCTTGTGCGCATTTTGCTAAAGTTCAAATATTTCTCATTTTATTGCGTGCTACCTTTCTCTCCCTGCGTCCCTCCCTCTCCCTTTCCCTTTCCCTGTCTCTCTCACTCTCTCTCTCCAATTTAATTTCTGTCTCTCTTGCACTAAAAAGCAGCCAGCAGTTTGGGCTGGCAATATATCAAATCCAAAGACTCATAGGCAAAAATGTTAGCCGGCAATGTTGCCACTCACTTTACGGCTCAGTGCCCCTCTAAAAGGGACCTCAATTGTTGTTGGCCCAAAAATCGCCCTCGGTGTGTGTGTGTGTGTGTGTGTGTCCAGTTTGGCAAATTGTACAAAATTCATGGCATGTGGCTGTGTTTGGCTTGAAACTGTTTGCTGGACATCGTTTTTCGATCTGCTTGCAATATTATTATGTAATTATGTGCGTTAAATTTTGTGAAATTTGTGCGAATGCTAATGAAGCTATTAATATTTTATGCGCCATTTAAACAGAGCGCAGCGTCAGCCACAAGGTCCTTGTAATGGTGTAAGGGAGCACACAGCATGAATAATAAACCAGGACACTCCTCCCCAAATCACACACACACTCACACACACACACACGCTTATAAGAACTGGCAAAGGGCGAAAAAGCAACAACAGCAATAAGTAAGAGTTTTCCAGTCGAGCGAATGTTGCCAGAATAGAGAATACCCTGTATTATATATTATATTATCTGTTATCTTTTATATATTTACTTTTATCTATTATCTATTATAAAAATAGTTATTGTGAATAGGTTTTACGCCTGCCTTTATAAGAATGAATTAAGATTTACAATCTGATTTTTGGAATGTTTTCTTTAAAATGTGAATGAAATTGAGAAGTGAGAAGCAGTTGTAAGCTAAACCAGACTACAATCTCAGAATACAGCTTGAAATATTTTGCATCTGAATTAAGGATATATTGATATATATACAGATATTGATATCATAAAGGCTATATACCCATATAAACATACCAAATTCGTTGTCTCCAATTATTTGAAGTTTTCGAATCAATAAAAAAAAAATGTGGCACTTTTTAATTGACTTATTCCCAAAGCAAGCAGTTATTGAAAACGTGTAGTTAACTGGATACAGCTGCAATCATTTTCAGCAGAATACTGAATACTGATTAATGATCAATGTGTAATAAACCCAAGAAGTCCTTTGTGCATTGCTCACAAGCATTTGATAAGTGCACAGAGTATTGAAACGAGTCATGACAAGTCCAAGTTGCCATTTGCAAATACGACGACAAATGGCCAGTCAGTCACTTAGTCAGTCAGTCAGTCAGCCGCTTTACGTGGAGTGTGTTTGTGTGTGTGTGTGTGTCTGTAAATCTTTAGCTGCCAACTTGGTGGCAAAGCTCTGCCGCCGGGCATAATGTGATTTTCAAGCATTTGGCACAGCCACACTAGCACTCACACTCACACCACACACACACACACACACACAGAGAGAGACTAACACTTGCACATAAACCATAGCCAAGCCAAGCCACACATAGAAAGCAAGAGCTTTGCATATTTGCGACTTGGCTTGTCGACTGCGTGTTTGTGTCGACGCTGCAAGCGTATAAATATTTATGCCAACATATTCTA